CAACAGATGCTGAAAAAGTGGTTGATAAAACAGCATCCCCCAGGATAAAAACCCTCAAATCAGGCAGTGATCCCAATAAAGGGTATTGAGGACAATATCATGGATAGCATTGTATTGGACAGGTAAAAAGTTTCATACTTTTCCTTCAAGATCTGTAGTAAAACACAGATTCTCACTCTCTATTAAATTCTCACTTCTATTAAAACATCCTGAATGTCCTAGGCAAGGCAGAAGAAACACATTGAAAAGAAATTCATCCATCCCTGTCTGCATACAGTAACACTTCATATACTGAAAACTCCAATGATTCCACTAAAAAACCTTTTGTGGAAAACAAAACCAACATAAAAAATCAGCAGTGTTTTTATACACTAACAGCAGTATCTAGAAAAAGACAAACAAGTAATTTATAATTTACAGCTATAACAAAATAAAGTGAAAGACTCAGGAATGAACTAAGCTATATCAGGGCAGGAGGTGTAGCTCATTGTTAGGATACCTGCCTATCAAGCACAGGACCCTAGGCTGGATTCTAGCAACACACACACACACACACACACACACACACACACACACACACACACACACGACTGCAAACAATGATGAAAAACACAAAGGTAAAGATATACCATGTTCATGGATCCGAGTCAACAATATGGTTAAAATGTCCATAATACACAAAGTGATCTGAAGATAAATATGATTGCCATCAAATACCAGTGACACTTCTTCCTTACAAGATCAGGACAAAGTCTAAAATTCAACACAAAAATAAAAGATTCCCAGACAGATACATTTTGAGTAAGAACAAATTATCATAAATAAAAGTGCACAGTCTGACATAAAATCAGGCTCAAAGAATATGGGCAATGGTGCTACATACCTAATCTCATCACCTGGAGGCAGAAGCAGGCAGATCTCTGAGTTTGAGGCCAGCCTGGCTGGTCTACATAGGGAATTCCATGCCAGCCAGAATGACACAGAGAAACCTTGTCTTGAATAAAAACAGACACAAATGGCCAACTGGTACATTAAAAATATTCAAAACTGATAATGAGAAGAAAAAAAAACAAAGCAAAACCAATCAGGACCAGCAAAATGAGTCAGTGGGTAAATACACTCCTATAAAGGCATAGTGATATGAATTCAATCACCGGAAGAAGAGGCTCGATGACACTGAGTTATCTGTCCTCTGACCTACACACACACACACACACACACACACACACACACACCATATACAGAATAATAAAGCCTTAAAAACTACAACCAAGTACCTTCTGTCAGAATGACTTTCTGAAAAACACAAAAGATAACCACTAGTAAGAGCACAGAGGAAAAGCAAATGCTGCACACTGATGGTGGGAATGTGAATAGGTGCAAGCACTGTAATAAAACTATACAGGGTCCTCAAAATGAGAATGAGACCTTCCAGATGATCCAAAGGAAACAAAGCCAGTACATTGAGGAGACATCTGCACTCTGTTTCCTGCAGAACAGTTCACAATCCACCAGGTATGGAGAGGGTTTGAGCTCATCAAGAGATGAATAAATAGAATATGTTATATGTACACAGTAGAATACCACTGTACCAATAAAAATAAGTTTCCATTGTTTGTGACACTGGAAAACAAAAAGGAAGATATTATGCTAAGTGAAATAAGCGAAGGACAGAAAGATAGACACACCATGAACTTACTTGGAGTTAACCTCCCAGGAGATCAAAGTAGAATACAGGTTAGTTGAGGGAGAACAGGCTGGGGAAATGTTGGTACAATAAAACAGAAGGAATACACTCAGAGTCTTCTGTATAGCAATGGTGCCTTGTGAAATAAGGACATACTGTGTTACTGAAAATGTTCATTGTGTACTGTTTTCATCACAAAGATAACTATGTGAGGTACTGCGTGTCAACTAGGCACATTTAAGGGAATCTACAACATACACATACTTTAACACAATAGGTTATACATGATAAATGCACTGAACTATATAATAATGTTTTAAACCTTTAAAACAAAAAAAAAATGTTTGGTCTTTTATAAAACCTGCATTCTTATTTATACCTAATCAAATACATGCTTTAGGTGCACCTGAGTTTGATGTCAGAAACCTTTGGCTAGAATGATGAGACTCCACAGTTGTTCTCTAACTCCTGTACCTGCAGCATAGGGTGTGCAACTGCACAGGGGCACATGCATGCGTGCACACATAAGCATGCTTTCACTCAGCCCTAGCTGCTGGAGATTCAGAGAGTAAGTATGTCTATTCTATCCCGCAACTAGCAGAAGCTCTTTGGATTCTGGAAGACTAATGTTCTACCCTTCTGCAGACTGTTCTTTTGTTTTCCATTCACAAAACAGGTCCAACAGTTACTTACAAGGTTCCATGTTAAGTGTTAAGAGACATAAATGAAGTAAGCAGTAAGACAACTCACTACTGTTCATGAAGCTCTAAAACCCACCCTCCTATCAAGGCAGATACGTAAGGGCAAGACTTTTCAGCGCTCTCATCTGTAGAGCCTCAGACCAAAATCAGAGCATTTCAATTCAGGAAAAAAAATGACAAAACTATTATCCCTTGACCTGGCCTTTGAAGTGCATGCTGTTCTGCCCAGCCAGCCAGACGATAGTGCTCATCTACAGTTGGTCATCACTCCTGCTGCACAAATAATGCCTCTATGAGCAAACTATCTTTTAAAACAAAAACGGGACTAGGGCATTTTAGTTCAGTTCTAGGACAGCACTGAGTACTCCTTTCTACATGCCTGTTGTAGGGGTGTGCTTTGTGTCAGGAGCTCAACAAGAGATGCATTGATCCCAACTTCACAGATGAGGAAACAGCTTTCAAGGCTAATTTACTTGACATGACAGCTGGAACTCAGTAACAAGCTATTTGACTGCACACCCGGACTCTCCTCCACCACACAACAAAACTACAAATATCAATTCCCCCTCCCCTTTTTTAATGGACTTATTTTATGTGTGAGGGTTTATGTGAGCACCGAGTGACAATCTGTAGGAGTCACAGTTCTCTCTCATAGATGACACTGACCAAACACTGCTAGTGAGGTCTGGTAGCATGAGCCTTCACCTGTTGACCCCTCTCACTGATTGGTCCCTTTGTTTGAGAGTTTGCAATCCCAGACTGTCCTGATCCTCCTGCTTCCTGGGTCCTGAGATTTCAAGTATACTACTTCAACATCAACTTTTCATTGTAATACAATCACAATGTTTCCACCCACTAAAGTTAGAAGGAAGCCTAAATGATACTAACCAGGACACACCTACATTGACTTTCCTCACTTCAAATCATATGTCTATGTTACCTTTTTCCTCAAAACAACTAATGAAAATCCCAGAGTCACCCCTGTGCACAGGTGGATGCCTCTATTCCCCAAGAGGTGCTTTTTCAGAGCACTGCCCATCACATACTTCCATATCTCCCTATGAAACCTCCATACCAAGTCACTCAAAAACAACCTGAATGAACACAAACCTTAGTATAAAGTACTATTTATAAACGACATCTGTCAGGAAAATGGTGAGAAGAAAAAAAGGAGGCTACAGGATAAACACTGAAAGTAACTTTACTAATTCATAACACAACAGTGATCCATGTGTCATCATCCCCTTTACCCACAAAGGATACAACTTATGTATAATGTGCGCCTCTTGCCCGAACACTCACTCAACAGTGAACAAGCAAGGCTAAGCCACTAAAGCAATGATCTAATGTGGAAAGTAAACCCCCCATGTTGTTCACACTCAGGACTTTCTGTACTTTCCACGTCTGGGCCAGTAAGACATCATGCCTACCTCTTAGCCTCTACTGTGCCGGTTCCCAACTGAGGCACATTCATTCCTGGAAGCAAAGCTTCTTGGGAATCGGGAGTTTTCTCTTTATATCCCCCGTGACCTAAGTGAGCATCTTGAATACACCGGGGTGATGCTAATATGTAAAATGGTTGAAAGGTAGAGGTAATTTTCAGTGATAGGTACAACATACTGAAGAACAAATCAAGGGCAGAAAACAACCTTCCCTTAAGTCTACAGAAGGTAGCCTCTTTCTAAGGACTTTTTGTAAAGGCAACAAAAACAAAAAAACAAAAAAAAAAAAAAACTTGCTACAAGGTTCTCATTGCTGTCAACAAAACTTCAGGCCATGCCAAAAGCAGTAATACACACAGAAGGAGGAACACCTTGGAAGGCTCACATAGGGCTGTAGTTACAGATGCTTATTTCAATCCCTAACCACCCAGGTCCCTAAAGGCATCATAAAGGTTGAGTCTGGATAGAATCCGGAAAGTTTTAAGTCTCTTACAAAGATGTATTTATACATATGTGAAATCAGAGACCCACTTAGTCCAAAGGCACACAACACAGCCTTTACTCTTCTGTACTCCCAGGAAGTCTACTTTGAAATACGTCAAGAAGTTACGTGGAGACATTCAGAATTCGTTCAAGATCCAAACCGGTAACTCTCAAACTTGAAGTTAAAGCTGGCAGACCCGTCACCCATAACTCATCGTCTCGACTCTCGAGTACCCTTTCCTACTCCCAAGGCTGCGACGACAGCGCATCGGCGTTCAAGTTTGATTTCCTGGCTCCGGCCACAATGCTAACCTAATTAAAGCATGTGGTCAACGTTCAGCATTTTCGGTGCGATATTTTGCATCCCTCTGGCTAGTAAGGGAGTGGAGACAGTCTCACCGACCCCCCGCGAGGCGACACCCTATCCACCAGGTTCTAGCAAACCGGCAGGAAAAGCACCCCCGCGCCGCCCACGGACCCTGCCCCGCGCGGGCACCGGCTCCCCTCGCCAGCAGCACTTTGGGCTGAGTCTGAGCAAGTAGCTCGTGTCAGCGCCACTTCCCCCCGGCCCGGCAACTCCGGCGCCCCCGCCCGCCGCTCGCTCAGGGGGCCGGCGCACGCTTCCCGTCCAGCAAGCGGGGCACCGAGGCCCGCGGGCCGGGGGCGCCGCCGGGGGGAGGGGAGTACCTCGTACAGCTCCTCGGAGGCCATGGTGGGCGGCGCAGGGGCGCGGCGGGGTCGGGGCGCGGCACCCGGCGGCAGACACTTTGTTCCAGTTGGGTCCCTGCGTGGCCTGCGCTTCCTGCTCCGCGGCCGGCGCCGGGCGCAGTGCACGGACCAGCCTCTCGCTCCGGGCGGCCGGTGCGGGCCGGCGGCAGCGGGGTTGTGCGCAGGAGCAGCTGCGCAACGCGCCCTGGGCGCCCGCGCTCAGTGCCCGGAGGGCCGGCTGAGGCTCAGGCGCGGGCTCATCACGCCCGCCAGGGGCCGGACGGGCTGGGGAGGGCGCGGCGGCGGTGCGGGCGCGGCGGCGGGATCCGTGGCTCCCGGTCTCCGGTGTAGTGCAAAAAGCTTCCTACTTGCGACCGAAAAACCTGCCCCGGCTACTGAGCATGCCCAGTGCTGCCGCCCGGCCCGGCGGAGCAGTACTCCCGCGCTCCGGGTTTTCGGGCCGCCCTCGCGGGAGGGGCAGGAGGCGGCGGGGCGGGGCGGCCGAGGGGAGCACCGACTCCGTTCCGGGCCTGGGCGCCGGCGGCGGGCGGCAGGGAGCAAGCCAGCAGGAAGGGGAGGAGTTGGGTGGGGTGGGCGGGGCCGTGGAGGGTGGTGGGCGGGGCCAGCCGTTGTGGGCGGGGCTCCGAGTTGCCCAAGTCCCGCTCCCCGGGGTCCTCTTGACCACGGCACCGCCCACCGGCTCTGCCTGGACGTGGGCGCTAGTTGCCCGGCAGAGGGCGGGACCGGGCGGTGCAATAGGGTCGCGAAGAGGTTGACTGTGCGGGCTAGGGCAGGTAACCCAACCCGAAGTTGAGCCAAAAGGGACCTGGCGGGCTGGTGAGCTCGGGTCTGGAGTCGCGACCCGACGGCGGCAGCGGCGGTGCTGTTAGCGCCTGTGGCCAGGAGAGCGCAGTGGCTGCCTCCGTGCGCCCGCAGCGAGCGCCGGACACGGGGACAGCGCCAGCAAGCTAGGGGCCAGCGGTGTGGCCAGGTGGAGTCTCCCGCCCTGCCACGTGCCCGCCGCCCCCGCGGCCGCAGCCAAGACCCGGAGCCGGGACCGCGCGCCCTGCCGCGTGTCGCCAGCTGGGCCTCCTACTGGGGTGGTATCTGGGCGCGGGGGAAGGCGGCGCGAGGGCGCGGCCGTCTAGCTCTGCCCACAGCTTCCCCACGCCAGGCCTCGGGTTCCTGCTGAAGTGTCCACCTTCCCTTAAGGGGAGTGGAAAGGAGTGCTCCGAATGTGGACTCTGGGAGGTCTGCGGTGAAAGAGGACCAAAGCTGTCAATGGTGACGCGTCTTGGGACCGGGTAGACAACACTCCCTCTCCGCCTGCTGCAATAGGCTGACCTTTCCTCACGTTATAGGTGAGATGGACATGGTGGGCCAGGCCCTTAGAGTTCATCTACCTGGAAACTGGACGTTTTTCTGTCGTTGGCGAAAGAGGCTACCGGACCAGCTTTCCCAAACAGCCAGCAACACAATGGAACGTCCCCTCGGGACACTACAGATTTTCTCCCCCCAAGCTGTACTGGAAGTCACCTTCACTTCCTTCAACTCCCAATGCTTCCTCTCGGGTGTCACCCCAGACCTAAAAGATCCATCCTAACCAACCTTCCAGACAGTGGGCTCACCATACTAGTTTTCTTCTTAAAACCCAACTGGTTTGTGTACAATAGCATTCTAACAGCCATAGACGTCGGTAAATTCCCTGCCTTACCCCATACCCAGGTTAAAAAACGTCAACACGCTAGCTAGAGTGCCTGGCATTACAATCCCCAGGTCTTCAGGAAGATGCCCGTGCTTGTGACTGCCAGGCCTGCAAAGCCCCCTTAGACTCCTAGCACCATCACCTCGAAAACCTGGTGTTGGACTCCCAAGGCAGTGCGCGCTCCAAGACAGCGCTATCTCAGGGTATTTTAGTATTTATCCACTCATCTTCAAATTTGAGTTTCCTGCCCCAAGCACTACCCTATACATGTGAAATAAGATGCCATTCGATGAGCAGGGATTCTAGTGGCCAAAGAAGAAAAAGCAAATTCCTAAACAATAACCACAAACACTAAGGAGTCTCACTCATCAACTATTTAAGGCGCCCCAAGCTCCACCTTTCCCAGGTGGCTCAGCCAATGCTGTTCCCACCTCCAAAAAGGCCTCCTCAGTTAGCAGTTCCTTTGTCTGCTACACTGCAAGGTCACCTCAAGTACTACTAATTCATCAGCATAATTGTTAAACTACTCGAAGATAAGAATTAGGACTTTATACAAAAGCATCTCAAAGCCGTTGGCGCACTAACACCATGCTAAGTGCTCAAGTGATGACCAAACACCAGACAAACAAATTGGGGGGTGGGGGGAGAAACAAGGATCGAAGTACAATGAGCAGATTAACATCTCACATTCAAACCCACCGTACAAGAGTGGATACCAAAATAAGTATAAACATTTCTATTTCCACCATGCTCACACTCACCACTGCTACTTTCTGGGCAGAATGTATTAACTATTCTCAAGGTGTTGCTCCGTGTATTATCTCTAAAGAGCCTTCAATGCTATTCCTGTTGCCCCAGAAGGAGGCAAGAGGCTAGAGATACAGATACAGCGACCACAATCAGACGCTGGGTTAGTACAAAGAGAGTAATCCTTTCCCGTGGTGGTGGTGGTGGTGGTGGGGGAACAGGCTGGGGATGGGGGTGGGAGGGATAAGAACCTTAGCAGTCACCCAGAAAAGTTCACATTTGACAACATGGAAGACCTAAATTATGACTAAGCACAATTAGTCCTCTATGTTGAAGGTGTAGTTCCTAAGTAGACTCTGCCCAAGCATTAACAAGCCATTCTTCTAGAAACCCAGCACCAATTGCCTCTCCTCCAATGAGATGGCTTCCATAGCAGGACACCTCTACTCAGTTTCTCAACTAGTGATGGAAAATCTGACCACATTTTCAGCTGTCCATTTTACTCCCTCTTTCCTGACCTCCTTGCTTCCCTTCATTTAAAACAACCACTGGATTATCAAATGCTATTTTGCATATATATTTTACATCATCCGATGAATTTACCTTACTTTCAAATGCTGCTTTCCTCTTTCACTTTTTAATGTAAACATTTTATGCTTTCCTCCTTCTGTTTTAATATAAACATTTTATCAGTGCTTATAACAAAAGTAAATACGCTCAAGATCACTCTGTGGCTTTAAATTCATACCATCTTTATGGAATAGTACAGTTTTTAACCAGAGTTACCAAGACCACGTGTGTGGGTGTGCAAGTACTTTGTGGATTAAGAAATCAATTTCCCAAACACTTCAGGAAGACTGCAACAAAAAATGCACACCACACAGTAGTATCTTACAAGGTACACAGTACACATAGTACAGATCTTAAAAGGTTATGGAGGTGGTCGACACCAGACAATGGACACACGTGACTACAACACTCATCTGTGACACGAAGCTTCAGCTCTTACCTGACTGGAAGCCGTGGGGGAGATTCAGTCCATTTTACTCCTCCAGAAGCACACAAGCCAATACTACTCAAATACAACTCTTCGACCGGGCACCATAGCTATATTCCACCTCTGGAGAACAACGACTTCATGAAAACAAAATTTGAGATAGCCTCTTTCTCCCTTCCTTCTCCCACAACAGCCAACGCAGCCAACGGCTGGTCCTATTCTCCCAATAATCTGCATGCCATCTACATTTGAATCCCAAGGCATGCTGGAGGAGATGGGGGATGGGACTTTAAAGACAAAAGAAGCCAAAATCAAGCACCAAAGGCTGTCTGAGCCAAAGGCATTTTCAGGACGGGTAGCTGTGAAAGGCTGCAGATCGAGCAATTCTGTACCCCAAAAGCATACTCCATCTTGGCTACTGCCTCTAAAGCTCAGAATTTAATTATGGATCTTATGAAGAAGGGATCTAGAGCTGATTTGTTTAAACATAATGAGGCTAAAAGGAAATTAAATACCATTCTTGTTATAGGCTATCCATTCCACAAAACTAAGTGGAATTTCCATCTCTATCACCTGCAGGGAGAGAGGAAAAACTTAAAATTAGGAAGAAAGCAAAAGCAAGAGGAATGGTACTGTGTTCTCTGCACTAGAAGCAACCACTCTTTCCTGAAAGCTTAAATCATATATTCTAGTGCCTCTTCAAGTCAGCTAGTATCTGATTGCTAGTTTCACCCCCATTTCCTTCCCTGGCTAAATGGTCAATCTCCCATTTCAGCCTCTCCTTCCCTCTCAAGCCAGGACCTACCTAGCTGACATCTTTCCCAAGCCACCATACTCTTGCTTCCTGTCCAAGCACTACCATTTCTTTTCTTTTCTTTTTTTTTTTTTTTTTTTTTTTTTTTTTTCTTTTTCTTTTTTCTTTTTTTTGGCTCTAGAGAGGCCAGCTCTGCTCAGGTAGGCAGTTTGCAATTAAGGGTCCCTCACTCACTCCCTCTCTTCCTCCCTTCCTTCCTCCTTCTTTCCTTCCTTGCAGTACTAGGGACTGAAATACTTTAGGCAAGCATTGAACAGCTGAGCTACATCCCCAGCAAGGCTCATTTTCTTTTCCAACTAATACGCTGCTTTCAACTACTTTCCCCTGTTTTGTTTTTTTAGTTTGGGTTTTGGGTTTCCAGACAAGGTTTCTCCGTGTAGCCCTGACTGTCCTGGAAGTCACTCTGTAGACCAGGCTGGACAGAGATCCACCTCTCTCTGCCTCCCAAGTACAGATTAAAGACGTGTGCCACCACCAGCCAGCTACTTTCCCTTTTTTATTTAGTTCATGGTGATTCACCAAAATAACCTCTATCTTTTATTAAATTATTCTAATCAAACAGGAGCAAGGAAGGGTATTTTTACCCTAAGACCAAAACTTAGAGAGAGCAAATAGCCACAGGTATCCCCATGGTTGATTTTATGCCAGAGTTAACTCATTTTAGATCTTTGAAGAAGCAGCAAGTAACTTCCTCTTGAATTACTGTGAAAATTAATTACATTTATCACTCAACTGAGACCATTCAGCAATCTCTAATCCTAGGAGAGGAGATGACAGAGGACATTTCAGCTAGTAAGGAAATTAAGAACAACAAGGTGGCCAAAAGTAACCAGAACCCATACTTAGCCCAGGATCTGGGTGGAAATCAAAGAAAATGGAATCTAATGAAAAGAGTACGTGTATTTGGAGGAAAAGCTGGAACCAGGCAGGAATATGAAAACACAAGATAGTACGAGGTTTGTTTGCTTCCTATCATTCCTATTCTCAAAGAGTGTCTCCAGATGACCAGCAGCAGCAACAACAGAAGCACCTTTGAGCTTTAGTTCCATAGTAAATCACTTGCCTAGTAAGTGCAGGGCCATGGGTTCAGTTTCTAGACCCTCATACCAAGAGAAAAGTATAAATGCATTTACCCAGCAATCTGTTCAGCTCAGAAAGCCCATCTAATGCATACTAATGTGTGAGATGCAATGGTTTAGACCAATGTAAAATATACATGT